CATACTCTATGATTCCTAATGGCCTCGAAATTAATGTTTTATACAGTGCTTTTCTAAAGTATTTTCTGACGAATAGAATAATCTCTGCAAGCCAATTCTCAGATATGAGTGCCGTGTGAACATAGCATTTGAAATTGTAGTTCCTATTAGCCTCAGAGTCATAAGTTTGATGCAGTGTTTTTTTAAAATTGAATAGAATAACAAAATAACTACGCTAGCAAATATTCACTCAGCATTATTAAAGATATGAGTGCCGTGGGAACATAGCATTTGATATTGTAGTTCTTAAAAGCCTTCATTTAAAGGAAAACTAAAAATTTTCGATTTAAAAATGTTATGAAAATATTCCTTTAAATTAAAAAAAAACGAGAACAATTGTTGATCTGTTGAAAAGTAAGAATATGTCGTGTGAACATGACAAATTATTATCAAAAAAGAATTCTTTTGAAATCATAATTTTGTTACAGTGTTTTCCAATAAAATTTTCAATTGAATAGAACAACACAATAACTCTGCAAGCTAATTCTCAGTTTTTAAAGATATGAGTGCCGTGGGAACATAGCATTTAAAATTGTAGTTCTTAATAGCCTGTATTTAAAGGAAAATTTAAATATTTCGATTTAAAAATTTAATGAAAATATTCCTTTAAATTATAAAAACGAGAATAATTGATATTCTGTTGAAAAGTAAGAATATGTCGTGTGAACATGACAAATTATTTTGTGATTCGTTTAAAAAATGAATTCTTTCGAAATCATAAATTTGTTACAGTGTTTTTTGATAAGATTTTTTATCGAATAGAGTAACACAATAACACGGAAAGCTAATTCTCAGCTTTATTAAAGATATTAATGACGTGGGAACATAGCATTTGCAAATTTAATTCCTAATAGCCTTTTTCGCTTTAACTTTAAAGACGAACTTCTGTATTAAAATTTGAAAACTTTTTTTTTTAAAAGTAAAAAAGAATATGGAGAAAATAAAAACATTGTATTTGGCTATTTGTTGAAGTTTTTTTTTTTAAAATGACCGATTTTGTTTTTTTTTTTTTTCATTTCTTTTAAAGGCTTCTTTAAGGTTCACAGAAACATAACGTTGGATATATATACTATATATATTTGAATATATTTTATAAAATATTTTTGTTTATATATATATGTATATAATTTTTTTTATAATTACTATATAATGTTTATTTTTTATTATATAATTTTATAAATGTATTTTGTTTTTGTTAAAAGAAAATTATATTAATATTTTTTTAGATATTTTAAGTAAGTATTATTAATTAATTAATTAATTTCCAAAAAAAAAGAAAATAAAAGAAAAAAGTAAAGCGTAATTTACATATTTTTTTTAAAATTTCTTTAATAATATTGCTTTAAAAAAAATTATTAAAAAAAATCAATTTATTTTTTAAGCCGAAAAATGCAATTTTGAATTTTGTTTTTTTATAAAAGTTGTTTTAAGTTTTAGTTAAAATTTAAAACTTTTATAAAATTTTTATTTAAAATTTAAATAAATACTAAATAAAAGTTTTAAATAGTTTTTGTTGGTTTCTTTTTTGTGAAAAATGTTTTCCAAAGGGTGTTTGTGCCAAAGGGGATTTTGTTTTAATTTTTTTGATTTGATTTTTTTCCTGTTTAAAAACAAAAATTAGTTAATAATTATTTTTCTTTTTTAATTTTTTTAACAAGTTTCTATGAACGTTTTTGAATTGTTTTCTTCTACTTCGTCTTGTTAACTTTATCTGTGTTTTCTTTTCTTTTTATTTATTTAATGTTTAATGGTGGTTTTTTATTTAAATATTTTTTCTTAAGTTTGTTTATTATTTTTTATTATTTAATATTTTATTTAATAAAAAAATTTAACTACTTTTTTTAATATTTTTTATATATAATTATAGAGGCACCCAATTTACCAATTCTTGTTTTAATAGTTTGTTGTGTTGTTGTTGTATGTTAGTTTTTTTGTAAATTATAGAAAATTATATGTATATAGTTTTATATTTTCAGTTTATACCGGGTTATTTTCTTGCTTTTTTGTTTGAATTTTGAATGCCAAAGTTTGTTTTGAAATTTTGCGTTTTAAATTGAAACTTGAGAGAGACAGAGTTAGTAAAACTAGGCAGTATCTGGGAAATCAAATTTGTAAATCTCTACAATTTTTAGCAGAAGTGAAAAGTTGAGAACTTTATAAGATCTTTCTTAAGCGACTTGAACTATTTTCGAATTTCGCACAAATTTCTTTATAATTGTTTTCCAAAGTTTATTATAATTATGTATATTACGACATAATTTTCGAACTGACTCACGAAATAGAGAATATTGAACGTTTTCTTTGAAGTACATCTTTCCGAATCTAAACAAAACTTTCGATTTTTGAATCTAGAATTAGAATTTTGAGTTTCGAAACTAATTAAGCATGGAATAAACAATTTTAAAATTAATTTTCAATTGCACAAGCAATTCGATCTTTGGATCTCAAATCGATTCCGAAACTAATTAAAAATTTTGAATTTCGAACCTGAATGGAATTTCTATAACGTTTCGAGCATTTGCGGATTCAAACTACATTTTTTTTCGAATGAAAAATATCAATATTGAACTTTCCTTTATTCGAATCACGATTTCGATTCTGCCAGAGACCTTGAAAATTGAAATTATTATTGATTCGAAAAACTCCATTTAGTTTCATATCTGAATAAGCATTAACATATTTCATTTTCAGAAGAAACATATAGAACACATATCTTTCCAAATCTAAACAAAACTTCTAAATAACACTTTAGATTTTGAGATTTGAATCTGATCGAGCTTCGAATAAACAATCTTTAATTAAATTCCAGTTTTCAAAGCGGTATGATATTTGAATATCAAACTGATTCCAGAACTAACTAAAAATGATGAATTTCGAACTTGAATAACTAACGAATTTATCTTGAAAAAAGAATATGGAAATAACTGTTCGAAATTTGAAATAATTTCCAATGTTTTCGTAAACTTCTCCGAATAAAACTTTTCTGATTCGAATAACGTTTTGACCTTAAGAATAGTGTGTGAATCAACTCTTTTTAAATTTAACAAAGTATTTAGTTTTTTCAGTTTAGAATAGAAATTTTAATCTAAGTGTGTACATTACATACTTTCGAATCTTATGAAAAGATTTCCAAAATAACACCGAGTTTTACTGCTTCAATATTAACTTTCAATTCTTATAAAAATAAAATCAAGAAAAAGAAATCGTTTTAGGTTTTTTCTTCAAGAAGTAAGATTTTTGAGTTTGCCAAAAGATATATTTATGTATGAGAAGGGGGAGAGAGGAATTTGTTTAAATGGTTAATTAAAAATTAAAATGTGTAAAACTATAAAGGTTTGTGTAGTAGTGTAGTGTTTTGTAATGTCAACAACAGAGCTGGGAAGTAACACATAATACAAACAAGTATAAAAATGTATAAAGGAAACTTCCTGCTCTGTCTTGTTTGTTTATTTGGTTTTTAAAAATTATAAATAAATTAATGAAAATATTGTTTTTGTAATAAAAGTTATTGCAGGTACTTGTGGTTACTATTATTAACTATTATCTTTGCTTGTTTGCTGTTGTAATTGTTGCTATTTTTGTTTTGTTTTGTTATGTGTTGAATTAAAACTATTGTATTTGTTATTGATGTATGAAATAATGACACTTAAGGTGAAGTGTGAGAGTTTTTCTTTTGTTTTGATAAATTTAAAACTAAAAATTTAAATAAAATAAAAATGAAAAATAAAATTAAAATACTTTTAAGGTGGCGGCGGTGTTTTAATAATTAAAAAAAAAAATAAACAAAAATATTTTCATGTTTATAACAATTGCATTTTTTTGAAAACGTTTGTAACGAACATAAAAAGAAGTTGTTGTACTGTGTGTTATATGAATTTGAATTTATGGAAGCATTTGTTAATTGTTTTATGTTTTCTTATTACATATTTATAAAAAGAAAATAATTCTTTAACTATTATTAGCTATTATTGTTACTATTGCGTTTGTTTGTTTGTTTGTAAAGACTATTGCAATTTCATTTTTAGTTTAGTTTATTTTAGTTTGTTGTTTTATAATTGTTTTATTTGATTATTTTCAGTTGCTTTTTTAAGGTACTTTTGTAATGTTGCTGTGTGTATGTTTTGTTTTGTTTTTCTTCTTTAAAGGAAAATTATTGCATTTGATTTTCTTGTTCTTTTTTTCTATATATTTTTCGTTAAAAATAATAAAAATAAAGAAATAATATTTATAATCAATCCAAAAACGTTCAAACTTTGTTTAATTAAGTTTTTCTTTCATTCTTTAACTATTTTTTCGGTAATTTGTTTTGTATGTTTAGTTTGTTTCTCTCGTAAGGCTTTTGTTTGTTTTTTTTAATCAATTTAATATTTTTTTACTTTAATTTCAATATGTAAATTCATGTTTAGAAAAAAAAGAAGAAGTTCACTTTAATATTTTCTTTTGCATTTCATATTTGTTATTTTTAACTTTTTCAATTTGTATAAAAAATACATAAATTATTTTTTATTTCCATTAAAAAAAAAGATTAGCACCCTGAAAACGATTTTTCAGTCGGATTCACTTATTTTTTTCTTCTTTGTTTTTGTTTTTTATAGTATTATTACTTGCTTTGACTATAATTGTTTTAACGATTTTATATTTGTTTAAAAATTAGTTTGAAACAACAATAAACATAAAAATTTGTTTAGAAAACAAAAAGCATTTCTTTTTCTTTTTCATATAAAAACTAATAAAAGAAAACACTATTTTTTACAAACAAAAATTGAAATATAAAATGCTTTTAGGCTTTTGTTTTAGTTTAGAACATTTTATCATTTTGGCGTTTTTTATGCTATTAACGCCCAAACAAACTTTCAAATAAAGTTTTGTAGTTTGTTAAGGTTTTTTGTTTTGTTTCTTAACCCAGCAACAGCAGTTGCAGCAGTAGTTTTTTATGTGGTTTACCACATTTGATTCTATTCTTTACGAAGAGTGCATTTAGTTTTCATTTAAAGAGGCAGATTTTTCAGTTAAAACGGCATTATTCACTTCATTATCCTTCTGGAGTTTGTCTTTATCCTCCTCCTGTTGGGCTTTTGCTTGCGCTTCTTTTGGTGACATTTTAATTTCCTTAATAACGGCAGTTGATTTCAAATATTCTTCCACATCTTTTGCTTCGTTATCATCATCGTGTTGAAGTTTCTTAGTGGGCGATTTAGTAAAATCTAGAGGTTTATCATCATAAACCGGCTCCAGTTCTTGTTGTTGCTTTTGTGGCGTGGTTGTTTTTTTGGCAGTTGTACTATTAATGGAAGTTTCTGATTCCAAATCCTCTTCTTCCCTGGACTCACACATCTCGGAGGCATTTACCTCGGCAGATGTGTCCATGGAGGTTTCGGTTTCAGTGGTTTCCAGAACTTCCATTTCATGGGCTGAATCATGTTTTGCCAACTTCTGTGGAGTAGAGGTCACCACTTCGGGGCCCTTGTTAACTTGTAGATTAAGCGAAACTTCAGGACTTAACATATCCGATGATGTATTCGTGGTGGAGAGATTAGCTACTGTTGTTGTAACTGTAGATGATAACGTTGATGAAGTAAATGTGGCCATGGCCAAAGATGTGTTCATCATATTTGTGGTTGTTGTGGTGGTGTTGTTAGTGGTTGCCGTTAATGCCGTTGTTGCCGCTTCCCGTCTCTGCATGCATTTCTCCAATGCCATTTTCAATGATTTACGTTTACGTTGTTTAGCCTCTTCCTTTTGTGCACTCATAACTACTGCTGCCGCCGCTGTTGCGGCCGCATCCTATTGTGAATGATTGGCGGCCGCTGCTGCAGCGGCAGCTACCGAAGCTGGTGCAATGGTGGCGCCAGCACTTAGACCGATTTCTTGTTTATGCTCACGCGCAATGTGGCGACGTACGGTGTTGTTACGGGTAAAGGTGCGCGAACAGAATGGACAGGGTACACGTATGCCTTGATGGCGTTGTCGTATATGGGCTCTTAGATTTGTTTCGTAGCCATACAAACGATCGCAATACAAGCATTTGAGTTTTTTGCCTTCAAAATTTTAATTCAAACATAAAAAAAGAAACAAAAATTTGGAAATTTAATTTTTAGCCAATTGTTCTCTAACATTTGCTTGCAAATTCTTTGCTTTTTTTTGCATTCAATACTCACCATCTGCTGTATTCACCATACCGCTGTTTTTGTTATTCAATTTGGTGGCATTCCAGACATTTAACATATCGGCGGGAGCTATTGAAGCCGCTAAACTGCCGGGTAAGGTGCCATCAGAATTCTTTAGACTCTCCAACAAAGCGGTAGGTGTGGTGGGTGAGGTATTTGAGGTGGGTGGTGGTGGAGGTGAGTAATTTGAATTTTCCAATTTTACTCTTAAATCTTCAGCACAATTCTAAAACCACAACAGAGCTTAAATAACTTGCACTTTATGTTTTCCAAATCAACAAACTTACTTCTCTTGATTCATCCAAATCATCATGATCATCATCATTGTTAGCCTCTTTTGTACTGCCATTGTTACGCTCCGACTTAACGGATCTATCTAAACTGCTGGGCACATTACCATTACCGCCTGTTGTACTGGGACTGTGGTTGTCAAAACGGCTGTAAATATATTCCAAAATATTCATTTTACTTAAAATTAAATTCTTTTATTTTCAAACAAAACAACAATTCACCTCGATTGCGGTGATGCTCTCTCCGAGTGCATGGTATCCGCTTCGGTAGGTGCCGTTGAAGAAGCGCTCGACGATGGCCTGTGATAGGGAGGTTTACTTATGGGACTGGGACATTCTGAAGGATTCTTAGAGCCGTCTCGCAAGACACTACCACGGACTTCTTGTTCGGCATAGGGGCTACGGAGGGCACGCTTGCGCAGTGGTTCATAGGACATGGGACGATGATACATGGGCGGCACATATGAAGGCATAGCTCCCAACGATGAGCTGCTCGGATGCATTAGCGAATCGCATTCTTGTTTTAAGCTATTGGTAGAACCACCGAGATGGTGAGCGGCGCCAGCACCACTACCTAGACCAGCGGCAGAACCACCACCTATATTATTGTTATTACCCAAACCCACAGAGCCGGGAGGTCCAGCGATAATGCCACCGGTACTAGGACAGCGATCCGGCAGACCTATACCGCCACCACCACCGCCGCCTGGTGCATTAATGCCACCAGCTGGACTGTTCATATTGCCGGCACCCATACTGCCAGCACCCAGATTGCCATTACCACCGCTTATGCTGTTGCGTATGCTGCGGCGACCATTGGGTGAATCCAGAGCCGAGGACTCAATGTGTTGTTGGGCCTGTTGGGCAGCCAAACGGCCGGTTTCTGTTGATAAACCTTTAACCTATAAAAATGAGATATTCTGATAGTGAATTGTTTTTTTATGAACAAGAAAGCCTTTAACTAACCTGTAAATTTTCGGCAGATTTCAGAAAACTGTTGAGAGCCTCTTGTGATACATGCACTTCACCTTTATACATAAACTCTAGCAAAGCCGCCATATTATCGGATGAGGTAGCCTCTAATATAACCACACATTGGCCATTTGTGGGTGTGGTCTCGAAGAGATCGGCAAACTTTTTCGAACATGCTGCCAATATTAATTTGTGAGCCTTAAAAACTGTGCCTGTAAAGAATTTTGAGAAAAAGAAAACAATATTTAGAAAATGTTTTATACAGATATGGGAAATTTGCGATATAATAAATTTAAAAACATCTAAAAGTATGCTTTAGTTTTTAAAACACCTATTTCTAATAAAATGTGTATAATCCTAAGCTGCCATAGAAACCTTCCTTAACAACTTTAAAAGGAAAACATTTTTCAAACAAGCAGTTTTCCTTTAAACTAATGCTGCTGCAGCAATATTCCCCTTCTCTTCCTCTTCCTCTTTCTCTCTCTTTCTCTTTTACTTGCTGAAAAATTCAAAAACAATTACTCTAACAGCAGGATATTTATGTTGTATTTCTGTGAGTGTATGTGTAAGTGTGTTGCGTATATGTGTACTTGCACGCAAACAGTTGACAGCTGTTCAATTTTCCCACATTTTTCCCAAAGGATTTTCTATTTCACGAACAAATTGTATTCTTTAATACACTTTCACTTTAGTTTTTCTTTAACGAAGAAAAAAATCAAGCTATAGATCTGTAAATCATAGAGTTTTTTTGGTAGTTACGCTTAGAATCTTTGTTAGTATGTCTTTGTGTGTGTGTGTTGACAACTGTCGACCTGTCATTTCAAATTTTCTTAAGTAGAAAGTTTGCAGAGGAAAAAAATACAACAAGTGCCCCATAAACAAAGCGCAAAAAGTTGCCAAAGTAAAGAAAAAAATAGATGTATTTTTGTTGTTAAATTATTATATAAGCATGAAATTTGTTCTTTTACTTTTTGCCACCGCAACTCCTGCTTTTCAGTTTTGAGAACAGGGATGTGTTAGAGAAATTTTCACAAATTATGTACCAAAGTGAAAAGTACTTTTTTTTGTCAAGATTTTTTTGAAAGATTTAGTATTTCAGGAAACTTTTCTAAGAAAATGTTACATATTATCCCTGCATTTTAAAGTATACTTTTAGGCTTATATTTTATTATTAAGAAAAAACATAAAAATCCTTACTTTACTTATTAGTAAGCTTTCGAATAAGTAGTTTTCATTAAAATTTTCAGTTAACTAAGGATTAAGGAAGAAAAATTTACCAAAAACAAGTTAGAGTGCTATATTCGGCTGAGCCGAATCTTAAATACCCTCCACCAGCAACTTTTGTATTAATACATTTCTAATTAATAAAATATTTGTAGAAATAAGTTTTCTCATGTCATAAATAGAAAGAACCCAAGATTTAAACATCTTAAATCTACTACAATTCCAAGATTTATTGAACATTAGAAACGCCACTTCTTTTTAAATTTTTATAACGCCCTAAGATATGCTTTAGCGATATCTAGTATTTGCATGTGTGTGAAAGATTTAAGGATTTTCAAAATACATACATATATATAATTTTGTTCTACACAAATTTATAATGCAAATAGTTAAATACGGTTAAAGCGCTTTTAGGGGCAGGACCTAGTATGAGAAATATGACCAAATATAGACCGATCGTGAAAAATTTTTGAAATAACATTAAGTGCTTTTTGCATTACAAAATAGTATTTATGAACAAAAATAGTATTTATTTATATCATTATTTGGTAATGAGTTATGTGCCTTTAAGTGTTTTTCTGAAAGGGACCTTGTATGGGAGCTATGATCAATTATCTCTGTATATGAGCAATATTTCTGCCAAACTTTATATGGATATCTTAATTTAGTAATGAGTTATGCGCGTTTAAGTGATTTTCGGGAGGAGACCTTGTATGGGAGCTATGACCAATTATGGACCGATCCTAAAAATTTCACAGTAATATTTCTGTGCATATGGACAATACTTATACCAAATTTTATATGGATATCTTAATTTAGTAATGAGTTATGAGCGTTTAAGTGATTTTCGTTAGGGCACCTTGTATGGGAGCTATGACCAATTATAGACCGATCGGAAAAAAATTTCACAGCAATATTTCTATGCATATGGGCAATACTTATACTAAATTTTATATGGATATCTTAATTTAGTAATGAGTTATGCGCGTTTAAGTGATTTTCGGGAGGGGACCTTGTATGGGAGCTATGACCAATTATGGACCGATCGCAAAAAAATTTCACAGTAATATTTCTGTGCATATGGACAATACTTATACCAAATTTTATATGGATATCTTAATTTAGTAATGAGTTATGAGCGTTTAAGTGATTTTCGGGAGGGCACCTTGTATGGGAGCTATGACCAATTATGGACCGATCGGAAAAAAATTTCACAGCAATATTTCTATGTATATGGGCAATACTTATACTAAATTTTATATGGATATCTTAATTTAGTAATGAGTTATGCGTGTTTAAGTGATTTTCGGGAGGGGACCTTGTATGGGAGCTATGACCAATTATGGACCGATCGGAAAAACATTTCACGGTAATATTTCTATGCATGTGGGCAATACTTGTACTAAATTTTATATGGATATCTTAATTTAGTTATGAGTTATGCGCGTTTAAGTGATTTTCGGGAGGGGACCTTGTATGGGAGCTATGACCAATTATGGACCGATCGGAAAAAAATTTCAGGGTAATATTTCTATGCATGTGGGCAATACTTGTACCAAATTTTATATGGATATCTTAATTTAGTTATGAGTTATGCGCGTTTAAGTGATTTTCGGGAGGGGACCTTGTATGGGAGCTATGACCAATTATGGACCGATCAGAAAAAAATTACACGGTAATATTTCAATGCATGTGGGCAATACTTGTACCAAATTTTATATAGATATCTTAATTTAGTAATGAGTTATGCGCGTTTAAGTGATTTTCGGGAGGGGACCTTGTATGGGAGCTATGTCCAATTATGGACCGATCCATAATTCTATTGACATAAGATTTTAATTTGTGAAATTTTGTGAAGATATCGACATTGTAGCGGAAGTTATTAACAAAAAACCCATTTTCCGGGAATTTGTACTTTTGTATGGGAGGTATATGAAATTGTGGACCGATTCTGGCAATTTTCAGCAGGGATCAAGATCTTGTGCAGAAACGAATATATGGTGATTTCCATGAAATTATCTTGCATAGTTTTCGAGAAAATTATATCATAATGTGTAAAAAATGCTTATTTTTTTCCGAGGTTGTTTTAAATTTTGATTCATAACTTTTCCCGGTGTGAACCGATTTTGCCCATTTGCAATACCAAACAACTTAGGAAAATGAAGAACATTTTGGGTGAATTTGGTTAAACTCTATTGCTTCGTTTTATCGTGAGCGTGTTTTACACAGACAGACGGACAGACGGACATAGCTAAATCGACTCAGAATTTGATAAGGACCCAGAATATATATACTTTGTTGGGTCTCAGATGAATATTTCTTGGTGTTACACACGGAATGACAAAGTTATATATACCCTCTATCACCACTGATGGTGGTGGAGGGTATAAAAAGTATCACAACCAAGTTCATACTTATTCTTGGTACTTTTTTCCTCGCAAATTACATTTTCGTATGCATTTCTAAGACCTGAATATGAAAACGATTTTTTTGCCGGTTGTTTGTATTTTCTTCAATTCTACTCTATACCTGTCAGAGAGATGAATAAATACGACCCACTCCTTTACGTATGTATGTATATAGACAAGAAAAACAAAAATAAATAAATAAAATATCACCCTCCAGCTGCGTGTTTCCTTAAGATGTTTTTTATGGACCAAAAGTTCAAAAGCAAAAACCATTCACAAGAAAAATTTTCGATAATTTTTCCTAAAAACAGCAGTGAGTGTATGTATGTATATGGGGGTGGTTGGGTGTGTTTTAAAAGCGTGTGTATTCCTGGGAGTCCTTGTATTTAAAGTCGTTAAACGATTTGGCGCGTATACGAGTAATACTATCTTCGTTTCTTAGTTCATTGTTGTTGAAGAAGAAAAATTTTGTGTTTGGGTGGAAAAAATATGTATGTAAGAATGTACTTGAGTTGTTGATTCAAGACCAAGGAAATTATTGTTTTTGTTATATGTATGTATATGTATATAATATATAGTAGTAGTACTAGAGTTGGCCTTATTTCTTTTGTTGTTTATTTGTTTGTTTTCCATTTTTTTCTTTCTGTATGAATACATACTTAAAACAGTGTAATGTTATTTATATTGTATATATTAAGTACATATTTAGTATACATATACACATATTAGTACATATATTTATTATATGACATGATTTTTTATGGGTTCAAGGTCTTTTTCTAAGGATAACTTTCAATTTTTCTTTATTTTCTTATTATAATTTGTTCTGCATATATTTAACATATATTTCATTTTTGTTATTGTATTTGGTTTTTCATGTTTTTCATTAGTTGGCCTTTTTTAATGGTTGTGATTTTCTTTTGGTTTGTTTATTTCTTAACCGGCGTCTAAAATGCTGTTTTTGCCGCGCCTCAAAATAAATGAAAATTGGACATTTTGAAGAAAATCAGAAAGATTTTATAAGTATACACAATGTTTATACATGCCTAAATGTATGTTAAAAGTATTATTACTTTAAACTAACGTCTAAATATATGGTATGATTTTTGCCCTTAAGGCAAATTTGTTTAACTGCTATGTATTTAAACATATGCCTAAATATATGCTATAGCTTTTGTGCTTAAACACTATTATTTGTTTAAAATGCTGTCTAAACTTATGCTATGTAATTTGTTAAAATGTTTATAAAATTACCTTTTATTAATCTTTTCCATAATTTTGTAAAAATTTAATTATTTTTGAAAAAAATCTCGGCTGATAATTTTTTTTATGAAAAAATGTTAACATTTAGCATTGAACTTAAATTTTTTGCTATTAAATCAAAAACGTAAAACCTCAATTAATTCATAAATTATATTCCTCACACTACTTGGAAATCATACTCATTCATACATAAACTGATAAGAATTTTTCTTTTTATATGAATTTCATAACTACTGCACGAGTTGCAAAAACAAACAATAATATTTAACTGAAATTGGAACAAATTATTTTTTAATAATTTCAAATGCTTTATGTGT